GTTTCCAGGAGGCAGCCTTCTCCTCCAGCTCAGATGTTCCGGTTTGGTGTTTGTTTTCTTTTTTTTTTTTTAATATTTTTATTGCAAACTCAGATATACAGAGAGGAGGACAGACAGAGAGGAAGATCTTCCATCCACTGATTCACTCCCCAAGTGACTGCAATGGCTGGAGCTATGCCAATTCGAAGCCAAGAGCCAGGAGCTTCTTCCAGGTCTCCCACGTGGATGCAGGGTCCCAAGGCTTTGGGCCGTCCTTGATTGTTGTCCCAGGCCACAAGCAGGGAGCTGAATGGGAAGTGGGGCTGCCAGGATTAGAACTGGCTCCCATATGGGATCCCAATATGTGCAGGTCGAGGATGCTAGCCACTAGGCTACTCTGCCAGGCCCAAGATGTTCCATTTTAAAGATATGCATACATCCAGAGGGTCTTGAACAAGACCGTGGAAAATGCCTACAAACTATTTGTGTAGGGCTGGTGTTGTGCAGTGGCCTGAACTGCCACTTGCAGAATCAGCCTTCCACATCGGAGTTCCAGTTAAGAGCCCCAGCCACTTCCAAAAACCCAGACAGAGTTCCCATCACCCATGTGGGACGACGGATGGAGTTCCTGGCTCCTGGCCCCAGCCTGGCCCTGTTGCAGACATTTAGGGAGTGAATCAGAGAATACAACTTTTCTCTCTCTGACGTTCCTTTAATGAAAGTCTCGATGCACCTCTTTTCCCCATTTTTTTTAAATTTGAAAGCAGAGTGACGCCATTCCATCCACTGGTTCCCTTCTCCAGACGTCCACAGCAGCTGGACCTGGCCAAGCCAGAAGCCAGGAGCCACACTCAGGCTTTCCCTGCGAGCAGCAGAGACCGAGACGAGCACTGCGGTGTGGGGTACGGGCAAGCCACTGCGCCCCAACGCCCAGCCCGTGAGTGTGGAATGAGCTTGTCAGCACAGGTCTGTGCAGGGTGCTGTGTGCGGTGCTATGAACCAGCCCCCGCCACAACACAAATCCTTTAAAACCGAGGCAAGAACAAATGCTAAGTTTATGGTGGAGCCTGGGAGAAGTCAGGCCCCCAGGAAGCAGCAGAACCTGAGCAGACAGCTGGGCAGAACAGGTGTCATGGCACCGATGGCCTACAGCAGCAGCTGCCCACATCTCCAGCCCCCGGGCCAAGTGCGAGTAACAGCAGAAACAGCTGCCCGCACAGCCGTGCTTCTTGCACAGTGGGAAAAGTAGAGCTGACTTCCGGTGGCATGGCTGCGGGCCCAGGTGGGCAGCGCACGAGGCTCTGAGGCTTCTTGGAGGACCTGTGTGAAGACACGAGACTGCCTGGCTCCCGCGACTGGAAGCAGGCCGGGCAGAACAGGGACTGCCTGCGGGCACTGCAACCATCTGCTTATGGAGAATGTTCTAGAAAGCCAAAGCTGTCACTGAGAAACGGCCCCGGGGGTCCTTCTCTGCGACATGGCCGTGGCTTCACTGCCGGCCAAGGGCCCTCGGTGAGAGCGTCCATGCCCACTCGGGCCTGGTGGCTTTGGCTTCCCAGTCACTGAGAGACTGCTGGTTTCCTTCAGATGGCCTCGGCCTGCCCAAACTCCGAGCGCCTCAGCTCCTCGGGGAGGCACGAGCAGGGCCGTTGTCATTGGCAGAGATGATGTTAGCAAACGCTGTATTTAATTGTTTTTCACAGTCCCCTCACACACGGTGAAATGGCACAACAAACCTGCTCATGCTCACAGTTGGTTCAGAGGTTTTAAAATCTCGGCCCGTGTCTGAGTTCCACACAGAATGAGCTAAGTGACACGTTCCACCCCTGGCTGGCACCCGAGAGCCATCCACACTGACGCCTGGGTTGTGTGGACACATCGCAGCTTCTTCACGCCGGGGCTATTTCTAGTTTGGGGCCAGCATCACGCCGCTATGGATGCTTCGGTGTAAGGCAGAGTCAGAGAGGGAGGAAGTTTCCAGCCAGTTTCAGATCGCTCAGCGCTGGGCCAGGCCTGAGCCGCACCTGGGCCTGCCATGGCCGGCAGGAGCTTGGGTAGTCGAGCTGCCACGGGCTACTTCCCCAGCATGTGAGCCGAGCCTGGAGCGGAGCCGGCGGTCGCGAGGCAGGCGTTGCTGCGGCACCACAGGCCAGCCCGGGCGGATGGCTCTCCCATAAACGTTGGGCTTTGCTGTTCCAGCACCTGCCACGACATCAAGCCACGTAGGTCTCGCCCGTGGACCATGGACAAAGCTGAAGAGCAGCTGTCTGGAGATGTGTCAGGGGTCAGGCACGGGAACCCCAGGCCCTGAACTTGCACCCCAGCCCCTGGCCACACGGGTACCCCTCACAGGCCACTGCCCTGGTCATACGTGGCACTCCCTCACAGGCCACTGCTCCCAGCCACACAGGGCACCCCTCACAGGCCACTGACCCTGGTCACACGCGGTGCCCCCTCACAGGCCACTGCCCCCAGCCACACAGGGCACCCCTCTCCCCAGGCTGCACCGGCCTTCCTGGTGCCCACTCACAGGCAGTTGCTGGAGCTCCTTCCTCTGGAGGTGTGGCCTGCGCCTGAGCAGGTGGCTCACCATGCTCTTTTTATCTGTGGGGCCCTCCACATTGTGCTTCTTGCTTTCAAAATAGTTTATCTGAAGGGGCTGGTGCTTGGCAGAACAAGCTAAGCTTCTGCCTGTAGTGCTGGCATCCCACGTGGGTGCTGGTTCGTGTCCCAGCTGCTCCACTTCCCATCCAGCTCGTTGCCTGTGGCCTAGGAAGGCAGTGGAGGACGACCCACATCCTTGGGACCCTGCACATGTGTGGGAAACCTGGTTGAAGCTCCTGGCTTCGGATCAGCTAAGGTCCGGCTATGATGGTGGTTTGGGGAGTGAGCCAGTGGATGGAAGGTCGGCCCAGCTGTGCTGGGAGTGTTTTCCACCAGCCGAGAGGCTCGTGCCCCCATGTCCTCACTGGGGTCGCAGAAGGAAGCGCCAGCTCTCTTGAAGCCCCAGCCTGGGCACAGCCAGCAGGTGGACGTGTTCAACAAAGTTGTCGGGTTTCCTAACTTCAGCAACTGAAACCTCTGCAACCTCAGGTCGGGTAACGATGTGTAAGAAAGGCAGGAAAAGGAAAGAGAGAAATGTGCCTTCACCCACGGGGGAAGCCCCTGCCTCGGTCGCCTTTCTCTCCAGATGATAGTGTTAAAAGATCGAAAAGCCAGACCGCCAAACGAGGAAAACATCCTAGGGGCTAGTGCCGACACACAGGACCCACAGCCCCGGTTCAAAAACCGAGACAAGGAGAAGCAAACTCAGCCAGTCAGTGAGCAGGCAGACATGAAGGCTTCAGCACTCAGCTGCCAGGGGGTCGGCCTTAATCCCCCGACACAGCGGCCAGGGGGTCAGCCTTAACCCGCAGACACAACGGCCGGGGTCAGCCTTAACCCCGTCCCTGGACACAGCGGCCAGGGGTCAGCCTTAACCTGTGAACACAGCGGCCAGGGGTTCAGGTTTAACCCGCGGACATAGCGGCCAGGGGTCAGCCTTAACCTGCGGACACAGCAGCCAGGGGGTCAGCCTTAATCCCATGCGCTCTGGCGTCAGCTTGCACCAAGCATCCACCCTCAGCGCCATTTCCCTCCTCCACATCTGCCCTGGAGAAACAGCTTCCACCCACACAGCATCAGCGGGGACTCTGACAGCTAATGGGCTCCACCCAGCAACCCAGGGAACCAGGCCAGCGCAGCTGGAAGGGCGCCAGTGAGTGGGAGGGCCACCACCACCCCCTGGTGGCTGCATCGTTGGGCGTACCAGCTGCTCATCTCAGCTTGGACTCAGCCGGGCAGCAGTTAAGGCCATCAGAGAGACCACCAAGGCCAACCACTCAGTCGGGCAGTGAAGGTCATCAGAGACAACGAAGGCTGGACTGGACAATGACCTAGGAATTCTACTCCCAGAGACTTAGAGCTGAGGCCCTGCCGGAGGCCGACGTCCACAGCAGGGATGGCGATACTGGCCATAGGGGCTGTTGCACGCCTAGGGGCAGGGGAACAAGTGAGTGCATGGTGCCCCCTTGTGGCAGTGCCCCGCCTACAGCAGCCCCCAGGAAGTAGGCATGGTGGAGCCCATGAGTGGCTGCCTGGCACTGGAAGTGGGGTGGACCAGATGGCCTGAGGGCACTGCACTCAGGATGCGTCTGAAGGTCAGGACTGTGGTAATGGCCACACTGAAACTCGGCATTCATGGGCATCTGGCATCCCACAGGGGGGTGCCTGCTCCCAGCTCTCAATGCCAGCTTCCTGCCTGATGGAGACTCCCAAATAAATAAAAACAATAGAAAAAACCAAAAGCAAAACTAAGTTACCTGGTGCACGTGCATGGGGGACTTCTACAGCCCACAACTCCCACCTTGGCAGCCTGGTGTCCGGCTGAGGGCAGGGCACGACTCAGCCGTCCCCCCGTGGGAGCCTGGTAGGCGGCCTCAGCAGCTCTCAGCATCCCCAGCCCGAGGCAGGTCGAGCCAGTCTTGAGCACAAACCAGAAGGCACCAGTGGGGCTTCCCCCGGGGGACCGGGCCCTCCGTGAGGCCTCTCCACTGCGCTCTGCCCCTTGTCCCCGCTGCCTGTGACATACACACACACAGTGGCAGCTGCCTGCCTGCCCACCCCGCAGGCCTGACGCCCACAGGACCGAGAGCCTGTGACGTGTGCGTTCCAGTGAGGTCATGAGCACCACCGACAGCCCCTTCAAGGCAACGCGCAGTGCAGGTGGGGCCTGGGGAGACCCCGCCGGGGACCCACTCCCTGAGGACATACGCAGCAGTCACAACACGGACTGGAGGGCAGACTGCCCACATCCCACCTGCCAGCCTCCCCAAGGCCAGGGCTGCCCTCCTCTCACGGCGAGCCCGCCCCCACTATCCACAGGGCACCCTCACGGCCCACTGCCTGCATCACTAAGCATCAACTCCACGCCCAAACCCACAGACAGGCCCACCAAGTCATTATAAGAATAAATATCTTTAAGATTTCAAACACCAAAGATAAATGTTACTGTCTGTTAGAAAACACCTACAGCACCCCGCGTTAACAAACATTGGCTCTGGACAGCACGCAGTCCCCAGGCACTCGGTGTGAAGGGCAGGACGGCCTCACCCTGCTTTAACACAGACACTGGACAGCACGCAGTCCCCAGGCACTCGGTGTGAAGGGCAGGACGGCCTCACCCAGCACCGGGACTGGCAGCCGAGCCAGCGCGGGCCGTACTGCGGGAGCAGCCAGCTTGGAGCTTTGAGGACCACAGGCGGCAGGGAGGCCTCTAGGGAGCCGTGTCCAACAGACTTCTCTGGCTGCTTCGGGAAGGGCTGGCCCGGGCAGGCCAGGAGGTGTGAGCAGTCGGCGGCCCCCGGGAGTGGCCGCTGTGTGCTGTGGTCTCCTTGGGGCCGCTGCGAGCCCAGGCGGGTAAGGATGGGGCCCGGCGTGGTCACTGTGCCGCCGGGGTGGCCTGCACATGCCGCAGGAGCTGCTCACAGTAGGTGGCCGAGCGGTGCTTGTGGACCACGGCCTCCGTCTCCCTCACCAGGAGCTCGGGGAAGAGGCTGCTGCCTTGCTTGAGGACACCTGCGAGAGAACACGCCGGAACACGTAAGGCACTTACATGAATCACATGCCACAAACACACACGGCATGCCAGGCACACATGGCACTGCCTAAGCCACAGCAGCGTCCCCACGGCCCTCGTGGGGTCACAGACATGGGGCGTCCCCACGGCCCTCGTGGGGTCACAGATGTGGGGCATCTCCACTGCCCTTTAGCAGCGTCACCACGACCCTTGTGTGGAAGGTCACAGACGTGGGGTGTCCTCGTGTGGAGGGTCCCAGTGGCCCCCCTACCAGGCCCACACAAGGGTTGCGCCAAGAACCGAGGAGCTGCGAGGACAAGCTCCAGTGCCTCACGCTGCTTCCTCTGGGGGCTTGCCAGCTTCATGCATGCAGGAAGCTGAGACTGGGCACACACACCCAGCCTGGCACGAGGCCGTGCAGCCGAGTCTCCCAGTGAGGTGACTGCAGTGTGTCCATCCCAGTTATGCTGCCAGCTGCCCAGTGCCGGAGCAGTCAGTGGATGCCAGCTGGGAAGGCCACCTTCACACCCTTCTAGGGAGCCAAGGCTGGCCTGGTGGCCACAATGCCCATGTCCCAGATAGGATTCTGGGAGGTGGCAGCAATGGCTGAAGTGGGTGGCTCCTGGCCGTTCCCAGTGGAGCTCGGGGTACAGTCCTGACGGCCGGCTTTGGCTCTGCAGGCATCCAGGAGCCCTGAGGACCAAGCTGGCCCAGGTGCTGCCAGTAGAAGTGGCAGGAGGAACAGGTCTCCCTCCAGTGCTGCAGACACAGCAGCAAGCCAACTGTTCACATCCCTCAGCCACTGCCACCTCCAGATGGCACCAAAGACCTAGCCACCTCTGCCACGCCTCTGCTCCTCCCGACACGGTCCCTCCTGTCCCTGTGGCTGGGCCCGGCCACCTCTGCCACGCCGCTGCTTCTCCTGACAAGGTCCTGCCTTTCTCTGTGGCTGGCCCGGCCTGTCCCTGTGGCTGGGCCCGGCCACCTTTGCCATGCCGCTGCTTCTCCTCACGCGGTCCTGCCTGTCCCTGTGGCTGGCCCGGCCACCTTTGTCACGCCTCTGCTCCTCCCGACACGGTCCCGCCTGTCCCCAGGGCTGGGCACAGCCACAGCCCAGCTCACCTAGCACTGCGTCCTGGATAGCTCTCTCGGGGTCGTCCAGGTGGACCAGCAGCTCCCGGTACAGGTGTTGGACGTGACCTTGGTAGCAGGACCTGCCCTCGACGCTGCCCACACAGCGCAGCCATGTGGCCAGGCCACAGGCCGCCGCCACCCGCACCTCATCGGAGACATCATCCAGGCGCTTCAGGAGCTCTGGGGGTTAGGGGAACGCACAGGTAAGTGACCTTGGGATGTCAGAATGATGCACACGGCTGGGGCACCCCGAAATCCAGGCCTGTAACCCCAACATTTCTGAGATGCAGCCTGCAGGGCCCCCGGCATCCCCAGACGCAGCCCACAGCCACTTCGACAGCCCCAGATGCAGCCTGCAGGGCCCCCGGCACCCCCAGACGTGGCCCACAGCCCCTCCGACAGCCCAGCCACTTCCTCACCGGCCAGGGGCTCCGGCTCTAAGACCCTGAGGCCAGGACACCCCACCCTCACTGCTGGCACTTTCTTCCTCTTTATTTACCATGGAGACAGAGCTCTCCCACCCTGACACGGCTGCCACAGCACTGGGCCAGGCGGAAGCCAGGAGCCCCATCCGGGTCCCTAGCACAAGGACTGTCACTGGGGCCTGAAGAGGTGGCTGGAGGGGAAGCAGTGAGTGGCTGGTTCTGCAGCCAGGTGCCAGGGTCCCCATGCATCACCACGGGCCCCCATGGCTCGTTCCTGCCAGGCCTTCAGCTGCTGCCAGCGCTCGCCCAACAGCCCGGCTTCATGGCTGAGACCCGTGTCCAGTGCGTCATCTCAGCAGTCAGACACTCGTGCCTGCGAGGGCTGACTGCTGGGGCCTGGAGGTCCCCCACCAGCGTATGCTGTTCTGGCCACGGCGAAGCAGGGCGAGTGTCTAGGTTCTCAGGCAGACCCAGAGGGAGCCACTGGCTCAGGAGTGATGGGGCTCCAGTGACCAGGAGCCTGTGGGGGGCCTCCTGCTGGGAGGAAGGGAGGCCCAACGACCCAGGCTGGTCAACCACCTCACGAGCCAGAGCCTGGGCTCAGTGTGCCGGCTGGGCGAGCGCTGGCCATAAGCACGGCGCAGGCTGTGGGTGGTGCCGGGTGTACCCGGGCCGTGTGGGCACCCTTCCCCCTGGGCTTCCATCAGCAAGGGCTGTTCTCCACGCTACCAACCCAGTCTAAGACAGAGCAAGTAGCACATAGAGACAACCAGGGCCTGGCCACACGACCCTTGCGAAGCCCCCACAGTGGAGGACGGCTGAGCATGTGGGCACCTGGGTGGAGTTCCAGGCTGGGACATCACCTGGGGAGTGAACCAGCAGACAGAGAACTCTGACTCTGCCTTTCAAATGAATGAATAAACCTTTTAGGATCTCACCGACTCTCTTCCCCAGGAAATGTTTGGCAGTACCGAGTGTTCCGGGCATACAAAGGTACACACGAGAATTAAACCAGTGTCGCCTGGGCCCGGAGCAGTAGCATAGTGGCTAAAGTCCTCCCTATGGGCTCTCAGGTGTCTGTAGGGGCAGCACCCTCCCCCCTGTGTCGTTTGGCATGTGGCTTCTACCTGACTACCCCGCCCCCTTCAACATCAGAACCTGCCTGGGACGTGGAGTGACCGGCACCCGGGTTGGACCTCAGTGCCGCATAGCAGCAGCCTGCAACGGGCAGCTCTGGGGGTCACAGCAGGGAAGGGGTATAGGGGGCATGCCTAGGCAGTCCTGGGGGTCACAGCAGGGCAGGGGCGGTGGGGGTGCCCGGGCAGTCCTGGGGGTCCAGGTCGTCTGCAGGCGGGGTCCTCACTGCCCTGGAAGCTGAGCCTGGCTACAGCAGGACAGGTGTCAGGCAGTCCTGGGGGTCACAGCAGGGCAGGGGAGGCAGGGCTACCCAGGCAGTCCTGGGGTCACAGCACGGCAGGAGCAGTGGGAGTACCCAGGCAGTCCTGGGGGTCACAATAGGGCAGGGCGGGGGTGGTGGTGCCCAGGCAGTCCTGGGGTCACAGCAGGGCAGGGGTACAGGGGGATGCCCAGGCAGTCCTGGGGTCACAGCAGGGCAGGGGTGGTGGGGGTGCCCAGGCAATCCTGGGGGTCACAGCAGGGCAGGGGTGGTGGGGGTGCCCGGGCAGTCCTGGGCGTCACAGCAGGGCAGGGGAGGCAGGGGTACCCAGGCAGTCCTGGGGTCACAGCAGGGCAGGGGTGGTGGGGGTGCCCGGGCAGTCCTGGGGGTCCAGGCCGTCTGCAGGTGGGGTCCTCGCTGCCCTGCAAGCTGAGCCCAGAAGTGGTTGCCTGTGTTAGGTGCTACCCAATCTACACGCTATTTAGTGACACCTGAAAACTCGGCCGGAAGTCGACTAGCACTGCCTAGAGGAACTTGACAAATGGAGCTCAGACCGAGGGTCTTACCAGGGTAAACCTTGATGAGCCTGTCAGAGTCGGCAGCAGCCCCAGAGGTCTTCAGAAACGAGTTCACGATGTGGCAGGAGACCAGTCTGGTCCTCTGGGAGTCCTCCTCCAGGGTGGTCAGGACCTGAGGCAGCAGTGCCTCCTGCACGGCCTCCACCTGCAGCAACAGACGCAGAGTGGCGGGGCCGGCCTGGCCCCCACCCCAAATGCCGGCAGGGGCCGGGGCTGAGCCAGCCCTGGTGCCTCCCGGGGCTGTGTTGGCTGCAGCCTGGTCCGACCCAGGCCCTCTGGGGGGCCATGTGGGGTCCACTGTTGGGGCACATGCCTGCCAGGCACTCATCACAGGTTCACTTTAGGGGCGGGACACTGTGGCAGACAGAATCTGCTGGCTGAGATGTTGGAACAGCTGGGGCTGCGCCGGGCTGAAGCCACATCACCTGTAGGCTGTAGCAGTTACCTGGGCATCAGCGGCTGTGTCCCAGGCACACTGGCAGGGCTGGCTCTGAAATGGTGCAGCCAGCAGAGGTGGCAGCTTGGCCCCAGAAAGGGAGGGTACCCACAGCCAGCTCCAGTGCCTGCTTCTGAGCCCCAGCTGCTGGCTCAGGTGTGCCCGGGGAGCCCGCCACTCCCGTGAGCCATCCAGGAGATCTGGGCTTTCAGCCGTGGCTGCTGGGGGACTGGGAGAGTGAACCAGCACATGCAATATCTGCCTGTCGTGTTCTCCGTGTTACTCTTTCAAAAATCATAAACAAGGGGTCCGGTACAGTAGCCTAACGGCTAAAGTCCTCATCTTGCATGCACCAGGATCCCATATGGGCGCCGGTTCTAATCCCGGCTGCTCTACTTCCCTTCCAGCTTCCTGCATGTGGCTGGGAAGGCAGTCGAGGACGGCCCAAAGCCCTGGGACCTTGCACCCGTGTGGGAGACCAGGCAGAGGCTCCTGGCTTCAGATCAGCGCAGCTCTGGCCATGGTGGTCACTTTGGGAGTGAACCAGTGGATGGAGAATCTTTCTCTCTGTTTCTCCTTCTCTCTGTAAACCCGACTTTCCAATAAAAGTAAATCAATCTTCAAAAAAAAATCATAATAAGAACAGTTTAGATAAGCTGAGTAACCTTTAACCTGGTTATGGATTTAAAAAATCCACTGTTTACACCCTCTGTTCGTGGGGTGGCCGCCAGCACAGACACCCAAGGCCCGCGAATGGCCGAGGATGCCCACGGCGGGAGTCACCTGCCCCGCCAGCCTGCATTTTGTGACATTTTTCCCAGCTGGGGACTGAACCCTCCCCGCTGTGGGTTTCCACCATACCTGCTGGGCTGTCAGCATGTCGCTGCTACTCAGCGCCCACAGGCAGGACACGGCGGCCGTGCGGATGGCGGTGGCCGTCTTGCCCGCATGCCATTGCAGGTTGGGGGCCAGGATGTCCTTCACCACGGTTTCGAGGTGCTCATGGAACTGCCTGGAATACAGCAGAGGGGTCACCAAGGCAGGGCAGAGACTGAAGGGGACCCGTGGGGCCAGAGAGGAACACGGCAGAACCAAGCAGCCCTAGCTGGGCTGCCACGGCTGCACGTCCAGAAACAGCAATCCCAAACTCCAGGATTTTCTACACAGCCCTGGGCGGACACGGAACGGACTCTGCTGAGTGCTTCTGCGAGGCACGCTACAAGAGCACCTGACGGGGAACGCAGCCACTCAAGGGCCGAGTCGCGGAGGCTCCAGCCCGCACACGATGTCCGCGCAGAGGGACCCACCTCTTACCTGCTGAGTTCTAACCTTCCGGCCCCACCCCCGCCAAGGTCTGGGTCCCCCAGGGTTCCAGGTGCACGTGGCCCTGCACACACAGGCCGACTCACCCCTGGGAGTCGATGGTGTCCTTGGGCCTGAGCAGCAGCTGGGACAGCAGGGAGAACAGCTTCAGGCGCATCTGTGGGTCCCGGGCTGGCTGCAGGCAGGCTCTGAGTGTGGCCACAACCTGGGGCAGCACCTCTCCGACCGCGGGGCCTGGAGGACAGCGTGCACACGGGTGTCAGTGCACGGGGGGCCTCTGCTGCCGCCACTCAGGTAGTTACCATGGAAACAAGAGCATCTTCACCCCAAGGCGCCCTCGCTAGCCGCAGGTGACCGGCCATTCTCTGGGTCTGCAAAGGAACCCTCAGGGTGGACCGAGGCCAGTCCCCAGCCTGCAGCCATAGCTTCCAGGCGACGTCCAGGAGGCACCAGGTGCCCTGGACCCACCTCAAGTCAGGCCACTTCACCGGCCACTGCCTCTTCTCCCCTAGTCGGTCTCCTAGGAGCCAGTGGGTGACCCCACCACCAGGACTCTCCTAAACACTGCTGGTGAAAAGCCAACCTCCCACGTGTCCTCACACGCCACACAGCAGCCACATGCTAACCACACGTGTCCTCACATGCCACGCAGCAGCCACACGCTAACCACATGTGTCCACACCCCACACAGCAGCCACACGCTAACCACACGTGTCCTCACACCCCACGCAGCAGCCACATGCTAACCACACGTGTCCTCACATGCCACGCAGCAGCCACACGCTAACCACATGTGTCCACACCCCACACAGCAGCCACACGCTAACCACACGTGTCCTCACACCCCACACAGCAGCCACACGCTAACCACACGTGTCCACACCCCACACAGCAGCCACACGCTAACCACACGTGTCCTCACACCCCACGCAGCAGCCACACGTGTCCTCACACCCCACGCACAGTAGCTGCATGTTAACTACGCATATCCTCAGATCTGGATGTCACAGCAGCATTGACCTGTGCAGAACAAGGCGGTGACACAGCAGTGTGCGCGAGAAAGAACCACGGAAGCTCCAGGCTGACTAGGACCTAACTGGCTAGGGCTGAGACAGCCAGGTCCTACCCGGGAGTGCTGGACTCGCAGCCCTGCCCTAGGAGGCAGAATGGTGGCTCAAGTCCCTGGGAGAGCTGGATGGAGCTCCTGGCTTCGGACTGGCCTAGCCTGGCTGTTACAGGCTTGTGGGGAGTGAACCAGCAGATGGAAAATCCTCTATGTCAAATATAAGAAGGAAACTCATTTGCTGCTCAGTTGAGTGTCCTCTGGCAAAATGCAGGCCTCATGTGTGCTATCTTTGCAACCTGGTGAGGTGGGTTCTGAGTGTGTGCCACCCCGACATGGACGGTTCTGAGTGTGCACCCCACACCTGCAGCAGGGCACCAGGCCACAGCACCACCCCAATACAGATGGTTCTGAGCGTGCACCCCACACCTGTGGCAGGGCACCAGGCTGCAGCACCACCCCGATATGGACGGTTCTGAGCGTGCACCCCACACCTGCGGCAGGGCACCAGGCCTCAGCACCACCCTGATACAGATGGTTCTGAGCGTGCACCCCACACCTGCAGCAGGGCACCAGGCTGCAGCACTGCCCCGATATGGACGGTTCTGAGTGAGTACCCCACACCTGTGGCGGGGCACCAGGCTGCAGCACCACCCCGATATGGATGGTTCTGAGTGTGCACCCGCAGCACTGCCTCCCTGATATAGCAGCCCACCCAGGACTGACCACAGGAAACACACCTGGCTCCCCCAAAGCCGGGGTAAGCCATGGTGCTCGGGCAGTTCGCCTGCTCATGTCCAGGAGCAGGGGTGACCTCAGGCCACTCCATACATCAGCTGCACCACGGCCCTGCCCCAGGGACAGGGGCTCACCTGCCTGCGTGATGACCACACAGAACTGCAGGAGCTCAGCCACATGTGCGGTCCAGCTACTGTGCGAGGCGGTCAGCCCTTCCAGGAGAGGGCCCAGGTGCTTCCGGAAGAGGTCCTGGCTGCCTGTGACGTTCTCCACGGCCACCAGCGAGGCCATGGTCTCCTGAGCCTGTAAGCAAAGCCAGAGGATGGGCAGCTGCAGATTCAGGCTCCCTCCTGATGCCACTGCAGCTGCAGGGCTGCCAGGCCTGCTGGGAGGGCCGTGCTCCGTACACACGTCTCAATGCTGTGTGCATAGCACACATGCTCCCACCCGTGACACCATGTGGGGTGCCCGGGAGGTGCTCAGTCCTAGCCAACACTAGGACCAGTGGACGTGAACAGACTGGACATGCCATGGCTCTGCCCCACCTGGCACCTGCACTTGGTGCCTCCACCTGGACTGGACCTTACGTGGGCTGCTCCAGGTGGGGACTGACACCTGGCCAGGCTGTATGCACCTCTCTGCTGGCCCACCCTGTGCCAGGGAGCCCCAGGACCTGGGGAAGGAGTGCCCAGGCGAGAGGGCAGCAGCTGCCTGTGGAGCTCTGGAGAGACTGTGTGTGCCAGCAGTCGTGGGGGACAGATCTGTGGGGAGCCAGTGTGGGGACCTGCAAGTGTCTGGACAGGACAGAATGGGACGGCAGGGACTGCTAACTGAGCTGTGTGCACAGGGACACCACATGCTCTCACTCCTGGGTAAGACACATCTCTGCAGACCCCGAGCTTGACACAAAACATGCTGTCACCTGAGAATGCCCCTGCACGTGCCCACAGTCAGTGCCAAGCCTGGGGAGCCCCGAACCTCCCTTTGGGAAACGCATAGGGCCTGCCTGGGCCTTACCTTGTCCTGGGTGCCCAGGGGTCCTGGCACGGCCATGACGGTCACCAGTACCTGGAGCAGTTGCAGGCTGCACGCACGGCAGTCCTCCCGGCCCACGGACACCAGGGCTTCAATACACAGCACCAAGTGCTGCAGGTAAGTGTCCTGTGGAGACCAGCACACAGTCAGCCCGCAGGGAGAGTACACAGTCAGCCCACTGGGAGGGGGCACAGTCCACAGCCCACGGGAGGGCACACAGCCCACGGGGAGGGCACACAGTCCACAGCCCACGGGGAGGGTACACAGCCCATGGGGAGGGCACACAGCCCACGGGGAGGGTACACAGTCAGCCCACAGGGAGGGCGCACAGTCAGCCCACAGGGAGGGCACACAGTCGGCTCAGTGCCTGTGTCTCCATGTCCCTGCCTCTCTCCCCCAGCTCCCCAACATCAGCTGCCCCCTCACGAGACGCCGAGAAGCACTCAGGTACCACAGCACAGACGCCAGGCCCTCACAGGAAGGCACGGGGTTCCAAACCTGACGGGCATGCAGGGATTCATGCCACGGTGTGGAGCTCTGTGTCCTGTGCTCCCATGGGCTCAGCGGCACCTAGCCCCTCGCTGGTGCCCAAAGCCCAGAACAGGGCACCCTATTCAAGTCCTGGCCTCCACCAGCGACCCCCTTGGGCCCCTGCCACCCAAGGGGAGACACAGACGGATCTCCAGGCATTCTGGGAACCCACATGCTCACTCCCTAGAGATGTACCGCCACAGCTTACTGAAAGGTTCCACGGCCACAGCCTCATGAGGCAGCCGAGCTACCCTGCAGACCCTCCAATGCCCAGGAGTGGTACTCCTGTAGGGGACGGGCCCACCACCACTAAGCTTTCCTCAAAGTGGCTAAAGAGGTCACCACAGGAGCAGCACACATCAGGACAGAGATGTAAAAGGGACACGTTGGTGAGACAGAAACCACGCAAAAAGGGCTCTGCGTGACGAGGGCTCACACGCGTGACCTGGGGCGCGATGGGTTGGTGTGATGATCACGCGTGACCTGGCATGTGACCTGGGCTGTGATGGGCTGGTGTGTGACAGTCACACACGTGACCTGGGCTGTGACAGGCTGGGGCTGTAATTACCCACACTCACATGACTGCGTTCTCAGTCTTGTTTTGGATGTTCCTGTGTGAACCCAGAGGATGAAGGGTCAACTCTCGGTGCCCTGGGCCTGACAGCCTCGCCAAGAGCAGGACAAGGCTCTGGGGACCCTGTAGCTGCCCAGGGTGTCGGGACAGGCATGTCACTGCGTGGGCACATCTACGGCTCAACAAGCAAGCCCACTGCAGCCCGGGCTGCCTGTAAGCATCCTGTCCGCCGGCGGCTGGGCGGGATGGCCAAGGTGCTGGATGCTTCCTGCACCCTGCCCTCCCCCAGGGCAGTGCAAGCCCCACGTGGCATCTGCCTACAGCTGCTGGGATCCAGGGCAAGGCCCGAGGCGGGGCTGGGGACGTTTGGCTCCGAGACTCTGTCCTCCCAGCGCGGGCCCGGTTCATGGCACACAGTGTGGCGTCTTCAGCCCCTGCTGGGCCGTGGGTGCGTGGGTGGGACACCCACAGCAGCGCCAGGCCCTGTTCCTGCCCATGGCCCGAGAGTGGTATGGCTGGCTGAAGTGCAGACTGGCACAGGAGGAGCCTGTGTGTTCTGTAGGGCTGTGACCAGGAGTGGGCTTACGTTTTCTGACGCTTGGCAGATGTGAGCTTGGGCCAGCTCCGAGGCCAGGGCCGTCAGGTGTGGCTGGAGGGCCTCCCGTGGGCAGCCTCGAATGGCCGAGGCCAGGACCAGGAGGCCGGCGGCGGAGGGTGACCGCTTCAGCAGTGGTAGGAGCAGCTTCAGAAGCACCTCCAGACTGACAAAAGTGCCCAGGAGCGTGGCGGACCGCACGCACTGCGGGGACACCAGAGATAGCAGGCTGAGTGTGTGGGCTCCAGCACCCAGACAGCCGCACACCCACACACCCGCGTGGTCGCTCACAGTCCCTGTGGTGGGGTACAGTGGCCCGCAGCCCTTGCCCGGTGACTGGCATCTGCACACAGGCGCCCAGTAGCATGGGCTGAGCCCAGCTGCCCCCGGGAGCCCCTCACTGCCACAGGGGTCCTGACCTCCCCCGCCCCCACGACCCAGGACTCACATGGCTGACTACAGCTGGCTCCTCGTCGGCACAGGCGTGGCACAGTGCCCTGAGCACCAGTTCCAGGTGCTGCGTGACGTGGTCCTCGGCGTGCAGCAGCAGCACAGCCAGCAGCTGCGCCGACTTCACCCGGGTGCCCACCACCCAGTCGCCCAGGTCGTGGCAGACAGCCGGAAGGATCTTGGACAGGTTCCGGAAGACAAGCTCCCGGCAGCCCAGCACCGGGCGGCTCTCTGGGGGGACAGACACAAGCTTGGCAAGAAGCTCAGCGGCAGAAGCTCCCGGAGGCCACAAACGACACGAGGGGCGCAGCATCCCACCCACAGCGGGGGGCCCTGGCCAAGCTGTCACCCCACTCACTGTCTGTCGCCAAGCTCAAGGCTGAGTGTCCTATGACCCACGTTAGCTGACAGTGCAGGACACACCTGCACCGTCCAGGGAGAGGTGGCCAGACGGGGCCTTACCTGGGCCTCTCAGAGACCCTGCAGCCACCGCACGCCTCCCACCCGGCTCACCTTGTGCTGGGAAGTGGGGCGGGGGTGGCGAGGCGAAGTCCAGTTTGTCCTTCAGGTCGGTCTCATTCTCCTGCTGCCACTGCAGCCCCACCTGCTCCCAGAGCTGCGCCGCCGACTGCCTGGGGAGCAGACAGGCCCTGCTCAGGGCTTCTCCTGCAGACGGGGACCCCAGGGGGGACTGCCGGCCGAGAGGGCAGCCCCTAGAATCCCCCAAGGTGACTCAGAGAACCTTCTCCCCGCCAGCCTGCCCGGGGTCCCACCACCCTGAGCAACGGAGAGGGGCTGCCTAAGACACGGGACAGGAGACATGAGCACTGGAAGACGATGAGAAATGAGGGCCTGGCATGCCGGAAGAGACAAGGGCAGTCACCCAGTCGGCCCCCCGTGCCAGGCAGGACGGGGGGCTCCAGTCCCGCCAGCCCCTACCAGGACATGGCTCGCCCACTGCAGGCCACCTACCGGATGTCAGGCATCTCGTCGCTGACACTTGACAGCAACAAGGGGACGAGCTTGTGGAAGTAGGAGTAGCGGTCTCGCAGGTCCAGCAGCCAGCCGCCCACGACAGAGGTTACCGCCTGTCGGACCTACGGGCACAGGGACCCTCGGGCAGCATGATGGCCACGCCCCGTGCTGTGCTTGTCCCCCTCTGGCCATGCCTGGCCAGCTCCTCAGAGCCAACAGCAGGAGTGGCGTCCCCTGCATGGGATTCCTCCTGGGGGGCTCTGTCTCGTCGGGGTTGCCCATAGGAGCTGTACCCACTGGGTGTCTGTGCCCTCTGCTCCCCTTGGGCCACTGCCTGCCGGGCTCACCCAGGGCTCACGGTTACTGCCCCAGGGACAGGGCTCAGAGGGGCCAGACCAGGCGCTCGCTCTGCTGCCCTGGTCTGGGGTGGCACCTGTGGCACCACACCTGTTGAGAGTTGGGGGCGTGTACTCCCAGGCCCGACTGGAAGCAGACTCCTAGGCATACCCTCCCTGGGACAGGGGCTGCCCAGCCTGGCCCTGCCCTGTGGGCTGAACTCTGAGGCTTAGGATGGCTCGCTGGGCCTGGCAGCATGACAGCGGCCGGCACAGTGGACAGAGCAGGAGCCTTACGTCCTGGGGCTGTTGGGCCAGCACACCTAAGGGCTCCCACGGTTCTAAAGTTGCTTAAAGCAAACAAGGGGGCTGTCCATGCCACGGGGCACAGATCTCCGCACAGGGATCCGAGTGGGGCCTGATGACAAACCAGGGCCACCTCCAGGCGTCCTGCAGCTCACCCAGGCCTGCCAACTCGGCAGTGCCACCTGCTGGCCGCACCAGAGAGCTACTGCCTGTCCAGACTCCCAGACTCCCCTCCACTGCCTGGACTCACCCAGGCCTCTGGGGTACCTCCAGCCGGGGCTCACCCAGGCTTGACTGCCCGAGGGGCTCTGGGGTACCTCCAGCCAGAGCTCACCTAGGCCTGACTGCCCGAGGGGCTCTGGGGTACCCTCTAAGCTGGGGGGCTCACCCGGGCCTGACTGCCTGTGGGGCTCTGGGGTACCCTCTAAGCTGGGGGGCTCACCCGGGCCTGACTGCCTGTGGGGCTCTGGGGTACCTCCAGCCAGAGCTCACCTAGGCCTGACTGCCCGAGGGGCTCTGGGGTACCCTCTAAGCTGGGGGGCTCACCTGGGCCTGACTGCCTGTGGGGCTCTGGGGTACCCTCTAAGCTGGGGGGCTCACCTAAGCCTGACTGCCTGTGGGGCTCTGGGGTACCTCCAGCCAGAGCTCACCTAGGCCTGACTGCCCGAGGGGCTCTGGGGTACCCTCTAAGCTGGGGGGCTCACCTGGGCCTGACTGCCTGTGGGGCTCTGGGGTACCCTCTAAGCTGGGGGGCTCACCTAAGCCTGACTGCCTGAGGGGCTCTGGGGTACCTCCAGCCAGAGCTCACCTAGGCCAGACTGCCTGTGGGGCTCTGGGGTACCTCCAGCAGGGGCTCACCTAGGCCAGACTGCCTGTGGGGCTCTGGGGTACCCTCTAAGCTGGGGGGCTCACCTAGGCCTGACTGCCTGTGGGGCTCTGGGGTACCCTCTAAGCTGGGGGGCTCACCTAGGCCTGACTGCCCAAGGGGCTCTGGAGGAGCTCCCCCCTCACCCAGCCAGAGAGCACCCCAGCACCACCTCGACATCCAGAGCCAGGTCCTTCCCGCACAGTAGCCACCCACTGTCCGTCAGTGAGGAGTTTGGCATCCTGCTGAAGGATCTGGGCAAGACCTGCTCACCGGAACTCCTAGTTGGGACTCAGGGGCCGGCTGGCCTGAGTGGAAGCAGCACTGGGCACGTGGACGAGCCGAGCTGGCTAGTGCCAGCCTTGGGGACTCAGCCCAGGGTATGGGCACGTGGACGGGCTGAGTAGGCAGGTACCAGCCTTGGGGATTCGGCCCAGGGTATGGGCATGTGGAGGGCCGAGCTGGGCGGTACCAGCCTTGGGGACTCGGCCCAGGGTCCAAGTGTTTTACCCAAGGGTGGAAAGCACGTGGTATCCCCTCTTGGCCAGGACACCACAGCAGGCAGGGGGAGTGACCAAGCTGCGCAGGGAGGCACAGGCTGAGGATGGCTAACCAACAGGGGCCCAGCGCTCTCTCACTCAGGGCAGGGCATAGGTGCAGCTGGCATACCTCTGTCCCCAAGCCTTGTCCGGTGAAGGACATGGACCATGCCCCTAAGCCAAACCCCTAGGCCCCTCACAGCACCAGGAAGTAGGACATCACGGGGGACGGGGCCACTCGCGGCACACTGCACAGATGCACCCAGGACGGAGTGTGGAACACTATGTTACATGGAAATTCCAGAGAGAGACAGCCACCACCCCCCAACACACACTACCCAGATGGGGATGCTGTACCAACTGTGTGGATGGCCTGGGAGATGGTGTGTAGACACACAAACGTGTCACACTGATGGCCTGAGAACAAGGTGCTAGCACACAGCCATGACCACTACATAGCGTGTGAAGCCTGTACTGGGCAGCTCCTCTCAGGTGAGACGCAGAAGGGACAGAGGGCAGAGGTGCCAGGTCCTGCTTGGGACCATCCAACAACGGACCCAGTCACACAGCAGCAGGAGAGAGGGGACAGGACAGCTGTTGGCTCGCCCCCGCATGGGTCCCCCAGTGGCTGCGGTACCTGCGGGACGTCATCGAACAGGCGCTGTGCCAGGTGCGGCAGCACGTCGTCCACGGACTTGCCGCTGCCGAACTGGATCACGGCGCCCGTGGCCTCCGTGACGGCCACACGCACCTTCCAGTGCTGGTGGGCCATCGTCTGCATCAGGGGTGCGATCAGCGACTCGGCCTGCATGTGGAAGTGCTCTGCGGGTGGGCACAGGACACGGTCAGCAGGGCGAGACTGGGGTGCCTCCCGCTCGGGTCTGGCAAGGGGCCACTCCTGAGACCTCCCAGGAGGCTGGGACGGGGGTCTCGGCCTGGGATTCCAAGGAGCCCTCAAGACGCACGAGGCGTGACGCACTGGCCACGGCGCGCCCCTCTCGCGGCCCACACCCGGTCCCACCGCCCTCCACCGGGGGTCTCACCCGGCGTGGAGCGCGCCAGGGCGGCGGCACACGCGCAGCTCTCGCGGCGCACGGCCGGGAAGGGGTCACGCAGCGTGCTCCGCAGCACGCGCACCGCGTCGTCCAGGTGCGGCGCTACCCCGGCGCCGCCCAGCTCCACGGCCAGGCCGAGCAGCCGCACGAGCGCCAGGCGCAGCTCCTCGCAGGGCTCGGGCGGCGGCCGCGCGGGGTCCGGGCCGGCCAGGCGCGCGGTCAGCGCGGGCAGCAGGTGCGGCAGCGCGTCGCGGGGACGCGCGGCGCGCCGCAGGCCCAGCGCCAGCAGGTGCGCGGCCAGCGCGCGGCAGCCCTCGGCCGGGTCGGACAGGCGGCGCAGCAGGCGCGGCAGCAGCAGGCGCGCCCAGGGGCCCTGGAAGGCGGCCGGGCCGGCGGCGGGCAGCGCCGCGCCCTCCTCCGCCGCTGCGCCCTCCTCCGCCGCCGCCTCCGGCTCCGGCTCCAGCGCGCGCCGCAGGGCCTCCAGGGCGCGCCGCCGCGCCAGCTTGCTCTCGGCCTCCAGCCCCGGCAGCAGGCGGCTGAGCGCGCGGCTCAGCTCGGCCGCCTCGGCCGCCTCGGCCCGGTCCTCCGGGCCGGACGCCGCCGCCGCCGCCATCTTCCCGCGTTGCGCGTCGCCCCGGGAACCGGCGCTTTCACGCCGGGGCTCGACTTCCGGGACTTCCGGCTGCCTCGCGGCGCAACGGCCTGGGCGCTGCCCACTACCCGGCGGCCTCGGCGCCCTGGGCAGCGCGCGGAGCCGCCGGGAGGCCCACGGCGCGCGGCCTGCAACCCTGGCGCCCACTGCGGAGGGCAGAGGCCAAGGCGTGCGCGCGTCCCGCCGGGGAGGAGGGAGCGCCCGGGCACCCCTGCCCCGCGCACAGCCAGCCCCGCGCAAAGCCAGCCCCGCGCACAGGCCAGCCCCGCGCACAGCCAGCCCCCCGACCGGTCTGCACGGGCGCGTGGGGACCAGGGAGCCTCCCTCCGCAGTGAAGACGCCAGGCAGGGCCCGCCGCTGAGGTCTGCCCAGGCAGCTGCCTGCTGATGTGGGAGACTTTTTGTTGTATTTGAGTCATGTGACGGAGCAGCGATTAGCCGGGAGGCTCTTGTGTCCACTAGTTCATCTCCCAGGTGGATGCCGTGGTCAGGGCTGGGCCAGAGCTGAGGAGCTTCTTCAGGGTCTCCCGCGCCGATGCAGGGGCCTCCTTTGCTGCTTTCCCAGGCCGTCACAGGGAGCTGGATCAGAAGTGGGGCAGCCGGGACATGGGGTGTTAGTCACGGCAGTGGGGGGCATCAGTTGACCCCCCTTCCCAGGGGTGAGACGTGCTCTTGAGCCACGCACAGGCGTTTCCGGAAGGTTCCAGAAAGTGGAATGAGAAGCTTAGCTCAGTTCTTTCTGGTGTGAGTTAAAAACAAACAAAACGGTGCAGTGGGCTGCCAGTCTTGCTGAGTAGGGCAGCCCTTGCCCGTGGGTGGGTCTGGGGTTATGGGGGCAGGGGAGGCAGACTGGCGAGTTGATGATCATCTGTATCCCAGAGATGAGTCGGAGGCAGACTCTAGAAGCTCAGGCGGCTTTACTCACCAGCGGACAGACTGTTCGTACCACCGCAAGTGGAAGAGGGGCAGCCCCCACGGCCGCACCGTTAGGGTTTTAAGGTTCACGCTGGCATGGAAAAGTCCCCAGCCAACTAAGCTAACGGTGTGGGCACCCCGACTGTGCAGTGAGCTAGGCTAACATGGTGCAGTGCGGCCCTGGGGGAGCTGCCAGGAGTCTTGTCATCTCAAGGTTGGGCTCTTTCCTCCCAAGGCTACTGTTGAAGTCTCATTACATGCAAGCAAACTCCCACACCGGGAACCAGCCCAGCGCTGGCGAAGACGGTGATAAACACCAAAGGCCCGTGCTTTGTCCAGGGCAGTCAGAGGAAACTTTGTAGCCACGTGCTAATCTGAGGATCCCGCGAAGGTTGGCCACCTGTTGCAGGCGCCAGGCACCGGGAGGAGAAACACCGTTCCTGTTTGCTGTATCTAATCTCTGTGTGGGAGGCCTGTGACTGCGTGTTGTGGGCCCTCCAAGTCTCACAGGAGGCTGCCATCCCCGCCGTCCTGGCCATCAGACGCAAGCTCCACATTTCAGGATCTGTGTGTCTGATGTGGTCTCTGCCGTTTCTTGGAGGCCCGTTGGTCTGAGCATCACGCACTGCGTCCTGACCGATGGGCAAGTGTCTGTGGGCTCAGAGCCACACCCTCCCTGGCCACGAGGAGCGGAGGAAGGCAGGCGGGCTCCACAAGTTCTCAAGTAGACATGTCTGTCCTTTTTAATGTTTTATTTATTTATTGGAAAGTCAGATATACAATGAGGAGAAGAGACAGGAAGATCTTCTGTCCGCTGATTCACTCCCCAAGTGACCGCAACGGCTGGAGCTGAGCCAATCTGAACCCAGGAGCCAGGAGCTTTTTCCGATCTCCCATGCAGGTGTGGGGTCCCAAGGCTTTGGGCCGTCCTTGACTGCTTTCCCAGGCCACAAGCAGGGAGCTGGATGGGAAATGGGGCTGCCGGGATTAGAACCAGCACACATATGGGATCCCAGCACGTTCAAGGCAAGGACGCTAGCCACTAGGCCACACCGCTGGGCCCAACATCAGTGTCCCTAACTCAACACTAATTTTTCTGCTCGCCCTGGAGCTGACAGAACTGACACCATTTTGAATTTTCAGGTTATCACAAGGCCCTGATCAGAGGCCGGAGGGGACAGTAGGAATGCCAGGAGGGACCAGGGGCCAGATGTTCTCCCTTCCAGGCAGTTGCAGGCACAGGGCCTGAGCTGGATGAGAACCGGCCACTTGACTGAGCTGGGTGGATGTGGGCGTCTGACCGCACAGCTGTCAAGTCTCGAGGAGCCATCAGAGGGCAGGGAATCATGGCTCCCCAGCATCCCTGGGGGTTCTGCTCTCCATGTCTGGTCCCCTAATTGTTACATTAATAAGCGCAGCATAGCAAGCAGCCCTTCGCTCACCCATCTGTCATTTCATGGGACAAATGTGTCCAGCAAATGACATGCTGTCCTCCTGGGAGGCCTTGCCAGTCCCCCTTCCAGGGCCGCAGGACCAGAGGGGACAGCATGTGAGGCGCAGGGGCCCTGGACAGGGAGTAGAGAAGGGAGCCAGGCTGGGAGTTGAAGCAGTTCCAGCGGGGATGCTTGCTGGGGTCCGTGTGATGGGGGTGGAAGACCGGGAGGTGTGAAGAGCATTGTTCCATTGCAGGCAGGGCCGCAAGGAACTTCCCGCTGTGTGTCTTCCCGCGGATGCCTCTACGCCCACCTGAATGCAGCTCCGCCTCCCTTTGCATGGATACTGGACAACCCTGCAGAAGAATTCTATAATCTATGTAGGCATAGTCTGCCTCTGCGGAGTTAATGTGAGCTCGGAAGTTGATGTTGCTGATACTCTTTTAGCCAAAGGGCCTTTTATGATTGCTGTCTCTGCCCCCATTGACCATATGCTAATCAAGGGTGTTCTGTCCCCGGGTGTAGTGGAATCTATTCTTTCCCTCCTTCTTTGATCTTTAGGTCCATCTGTGATGCATTTCCTCCCTTAGCTGATTCAAGACTAAGCCGTAGAATGAGGATTGTGGTAGGAATGTGTTACTGATTGATATACGCCATCTATTGAGAACTTTTTCCCAACCACGGCGCCAGGATGGATAATATCCTGCTTTAGGTGAAACAAACCGCAGAATTATCCTTAGAAACACCCACTTGACCATGACGTAAAAAGTCCGAGCCAGTGTTTGACTGGTTCTGTATAAATAAAGTGGACAGCTTTCTTGCATTGTCCACAATGATCATGGAATCCTGGTGGTCCGTGTCTCTCTCTCTTTGCGCCTCATCCACGCACCCTTCTTGAGTTCTGAACTCAGCTGGACTCTGGCAGGTGCTGGCCTTGAGAAGGGGTACTGGGTGAGACATGGGCTCCGTCATGTGGGGTGTAGCTGGTGTGGGCCACGTTTACCTAGGAAGGGGGAAGGTTCCAGAGCTGTGCCCAGGGTCACAGACCACAGACCACAGCCACAGCCTGCACCAGGGAAGGGGGAAGGTTCCAGAGCTGTGCCCAGGGTCACAGACCACAGACCACAGCCACAGCCTGCACCAGGGAAGGGGGAAGGTTCCAGAGCTGTGCCCAGGGTCACAGACCACAGACCACAGCCACAGCCTGCACCAGGGAAGGGGGAAGGTTCCAGAGCTGTGCCCAGGGTCACAGACCATGACCACAGCCAGGAAGGGGCCAAGGGGTCATCAGAGGCTCTGGGTCCTAGAGGCAGAGGCTGCTGGCCAGGCTTGGTTGCACGTGTGGTGGAGGCTGCTGACTTCACCAGCTGAAGGCGCTTCCTCATAATGGGTGGGTGCCTCCGAGTGTGGGAATCCTAGGAGGAGGGAAAGCTGTGCCCAGGGAGTCGGGATGCCTGATGGAGCCCAAGGGGCAGGCAGGGCTGGCTCTGCCAGTGGAGACAGAGGCTGGGTAGGAATGGGCGTGGCTGTGGGCCTGGCTGCGGCACCTGTACTTAGCAGGGCTGCCCTGGGCCTCTGGGCTGGGCAGGTGCATCCTCACTTAGCGCCTGAGTGGGGAGAGGCACGTGGTGCCACTCCTGGTGCCCCGGGACTGTGTGGGCCCTGCCTGGTGCGCAGGCACTGGCGTGCGGTGGAAGGAGAGAGATCTTCCATCTGCTGATTCACTCCCCCAGTGGTCAGAACGGCAGGACTGAAGGAGCCAGGGGCTTCTTCCGTGTCTCACCATGGGTGTGAGACCCAAGGCTTTGGGCCGTCCTCTGCTGCCTTCCCAGGCCACAAGCGGGGAGCTGGATGGGAAGTGGAGCCTGCTGCCTGTGGCTACAGTGCCAGGAGTCACACCCAGAGCGGACGACGAACATTGTGGTGCGAGTTGATTCTGTGTCTTTCTAGTGGATTTTTTTTTTTTTAATGTAGAAAATGTTCTCTCTGTGTGTGATCAGACCCACCAGGTTTCACGCTGATGGCTCCTGGACCTTGGGTCACATTCACAAAGTCTCTGGGCGGCTTCTGGGTCACCTGGCAGCCTGGCCCTCCTGAGCTGTCCCCTCTCACCCCATCCCCATTGTCCTGCAGTGACCACCCACACTGCCTTCGTCCCTCCCCGTAGCTCCCGTAGGCTGCCTGGGCAGACTTCTGAGCCCCTTGCTCCGGGCCCTCGGCAGGCCTGTCCATTCACACGCAGGGTTCACCTGCGGGGTAGTGTTTCTTGCCCCGTCCTCCAGGGATCTCTAGTGGGCAGCTTCCTGGGGCCACTTTTCCGTGTCCCTTCCATCCCCACTGTGCTCTGTGTTCAGCCTGGGGTGCTGCCAACACACTGTGGGGTGTCGGTCAGCTCCCGGGCGACCCCACAGAGGCTGAGTGTGACCATCCCAGTTTCACGTGGTGGAGTGACCGCAGCTGCAGGTGAGGGGTGGGAAAGGACACAGATGCGCGGCTGGTGCCCAGTCTGCGCATCTTCAAGGGAGCTTCAAGGCCCCGGGAGGATCTGCAGGCTCAGCAGGCAGCATGTGGGCAGGTGGCCCTGGTGGGGATCACTAGTAAGATACTGGAAGGTGGCCTGCCAGGTTAAAGGCAGCAGGTGGCGGGGAGTGGGTGGGGTGGGCAGCCCTCACCCTCGCTGGGGGGTGGGAAGGGGACTCAGCAGAAGCCTGGGTGGCCACCCACAGCCCGGAGCCCGGCAGGGCACAGGTCCCTGCGGGAAGGAGTGTTGAGTTCAGACATGCAACAGGTGCTGGGGCGGGACGGGGTGTGTGGGGGGCAATTCCTTCGTGGTTCAAGAGGGAGCAGGCAGATGCAGGTGACCTGGTGGAAGACTGTGGGAAGAATAGGGGAGGCAGGGTGGGCGGAGTGCAGCACAAATGAGGGTAACACAAGTGGACCTGGCAGGGGAGCAGGCCCCGTTATCCTGTCTCCTGGTGTCGGGCTTGTCCGCCTTGGGGAGGGGGGGATCCCCGTCAGGGTCAGGAAGTTGAGGGCAGCTGTCTTGCGCTGGGGCTCCACTCCCCATCTGACCATTCCCTTCTCCTGCCCTGGATTTCAGCAGGGCTAGGGCGGGGACTGGAGAGTCCAGGGCTGGAGAGCAGGGAGGCGGCTACTGAGAAGGTCTGTGCAGGCTGGGCTCGCGACCCCCAGCAGGCCCAGGGTGTGAGGGTCGGGCAGGGGGAGGGGAGTCAGGCGGGCGGGGTGCGGCGGGAGCGCGGCGCGGGGGCGGTGCGGGAGGGCGGCGCCGCTGCAGTGCAGGGCCCGGCTCGCCCGCGTCCCCGCGCAGTCGCCTCCGGCCTCGGGCGCAGCGCATCAGGTACGCGGGGCTGGGTGCGGGCCGCCTCGGGGTCGGACCCTGTGGCCAGCGCGGGGGGGTTGGCCGGGTGCGGGAGTCCTCCAGGACGGTCCATGGTCCAGGACGAGGTCCGTGGGGGGTGGCCGGGGGTCGCGTCCCACCCTCCGAGGCCCCCGCGCAGGGCCGAGCGTGATGGGGGGGCGCCTTCCTCACAGCCCGACAACCCCCGGGGCGCCTCAGCCTGCCCGGCCCGGCCTTTGTGACTCCGGCGCCGGCGCCCGCGGCCATTGTTCCACTGCGGCCCGGCAGGCCAGGCTGGGCTCGGCATCTTCCATTCGCGCCCAGGCGCGGGTCCCCGCCTGCCGGCGGCCGCCCTCCGGCACCTTCTCCCCGCACTCACACAAGTGCCCGCGCACCGGGACGGGGTGGCGGGCGGTCGGGGGCCCTGAGCCATGCCCGGAGTCGCGCCGGCCCCGCCGGGGCCCGTCCCCAGGTAAGGCCCGGCGCGGCGGAGCCCCGGCCCCGCGCCCGGCTCGCCAGGACCCCGAGGCCCGCAGTGGTGCGCTCACGCCGCGCCTGTGCTTCCCCGGTAGGGACCGACTGCTGGCTCTGGCCCTCGCCATGGCGTCGCCTTCCTTCCACGCGGACGACGATGAGAACCTGCGGGGCTGCGAGCTGTACGTGCAGACCCATGGCATCCAGCAGGCGCTGCGGGACTGTGTGGTGCATCTGTGCCTTGCCAAGCCCGAGCGCCCCATGCGCTTCCTGCGCGAGCACTTCGAGAGGCTGGAGAAGGTCGGTGGCGCCCGCGCCGCCCGCTGCCCCTGGGGCAGGTGCGGCTGCGTGGACCCCGCGCGGTGGCGGCCCACCCTGCCCCGCCTCTCGCGGGGGTAGGAGGTGTCTCCCTGGCCGTCCGCAGCGCTGGGTGGGGGCTAGGTCTGGAGGAAGAAACTGCGGGTCCTTGGCTGGACAGGAAGAGGATGGTGCCCGGGGAGCAGCAGGTGCCGGCCTCAGCCACCCCGCCTCCTTCTCCGGAGGGCGTGACCGCCCCTGGCCCGCCCACTCCGCCGGCTGCCCGGGGCTGGGTGGCCGTGCCCAGTCCTCATGCTGCGCGGGGCTGGGGGGCTGCCCCGGAGTGGGTGGCTGCGCCCACTCCGCCAGCCGCCCGGGGCTGAGTGGCTGCGCCCACTCCGCCGGCTGCCCGGGGCTGGGTGGCTGTGCCCAGTCCTCATACTGCGCGGGGCTGGGTGGCTGCCCCGGACTGGGTGGCTGTGCCCACTCCGCTGGCTGCTCCCCACGGTGCCACCCAGGGCCCCTCTGGGCCCCACGAGGAGCCCGGGCGACCCACGCTTGACTCCAGGGGTGTCCCTGCTTTTTCCCTTAGCCACCGCGGGCTGCAGGCGCTGCTGCCTGCACTACGGAAAACCAGTCAAGCTCAGAACCGACAGAGCTCCCAGTGCAGGTGTCGTGTCCACCTGCTGCCCGCCAGGTGCAGCGGCCGCCATGTCCTCTGATTCTGAGGGCGCTTCAGAAATCGAGGGAAAAGAGGAATCTAAAGATGTTTGTTTTGGTGGGGGGAAAAAAGCTCATTTTAATGCACTGTCTCGTTAAAAGCCGAGCCATGTTAACCTGCCTACTGGCAGCTGTGGAACTGCCTACTGGCAGTTCTGTCTGTGAACCTTCTGGGCAGATGTGGGTGGCCATGGAGGTGTTCCCTTGTCCCTGGGCAGGTAGGCAGGTGGCTCACATTGGGCCCTGGCTGGCTTGGTTGTGTCCTGGGTGACCACCTCCAGGCAGCTCGGGGCACAGGCTCGGGAGACTGCAAGCAGCAGAGGATGGAGCCTCTGTCCTCAGCCTTGGGCCCTGCTGTGATGTCATCAGGGTGGGGTGGCTTTGTGCAGCCAGGACCCAAGGCTGAGTGTCTGGGACATTCTGGGGGACTTGGGATCACGAGGGCCCGGGAGGAAGCGGCCTGCAGCAGGAGCTCTGTGCCCCCTCCCCGCCTCCACATAGACCCCCGGTGAGGGATCATCCATGCCAGAGGCGTTTGACGGCTGCAGCGAGGGTTGGCCTGAGATGATTGGCCTGTGAGGCGGTTTGGCCCCTTGTTTCCATGGTGACGAGTGGGCATTCCTGTCAGGAACGTTGGCCAGGAAAGGGGGGCAGCGTCGTGGGTGGAAACGAAGGGGTGAGCTGTCGGGGTTGGGAGCAGCCGGACACGGACCCAGAGGCCCGGGCGGAGGCTGGGCGTGGGCAGGGAAGTGACTCAGCCGCCCAGCGTGCGGGGGCAGGGCTGGAGTCCAGGAGGGACGAGGGGCCGTGAGCGGTGAGAGCTGGTGCCCACCTGGGCACTGTGCTCCTGCGGGCTGAGAATCGCCGAAGTGCTGGCGCAGCTTCGATCAGGCTCTCAGCTGGCCCTTCCTGGGCCTTGGCTGTTGGCGGCTGCCAGGGTCTGCTCCCCCTGCCGTGGGCCAAGCGACTGTAACGGCAGAGGCTGTGATTCAGTCTGCTCCTAGCCCTCAGCCTTCGTGGGCCGGCCCTCACAAGTGGATGCCTCCCCCCGGTCTCTACCTTTGTTTTTGTGTGATGGTCAGCCTGCGTACCTTTGTGTCCACGTCACGGGCGACAGAGAGGGGAGGAAGGTCTGTCTGCTGGTTCACTCCCCGGATGGGCCAGGGTGAAGCCAGCTGCCAGGAGTCCCAGCTCAGCCTCCCAGCACTCGGGCTGTCACCTGCTGCTTTGTTAGCCGGGGCTGGATGGAAGTGAGACCTGAGCTGGTGTCTGTGGGAAGCTCATGTCACAAGTGGCAGCTTAACTGTGTCATGGTGCCAGCCCCTTCGTAAAGATGATTTATTTTGAAAGAACGATGGGGTGGGGAGGGGAGAGAGAGCCGTGTCCTGTATGTTGGTGCCTTCTCCGATGGCCACGAGAGCCAGGGAGCCAATGCAGATCTCCCCCACCGGCGGCTGGGAGCCACATGCTGGACCAGTGTGTGCGTCAGTGGGCACTTGGGCAGGACACGGCACCTGCATGCCTGCCCCATTGGCCTTATTGAATTAGGGCCCCTCAGGTGACCTCTGCGAATGGGCTACCTCCAGACAAGCCATGTCCCAAGGTCCTGGAGCAAGGACTGCCCCGTGGCTGCCTTGGGGACTCGTGCTGCCCGTTACTGCTGGGTCTCTGACCTGGACCGACCCTTGGCAGCAGTGCCATGCCATTGCTGGGAATGCTGGGGTGGTATACCTGGCACAGTCCCGTTTCACCAGTGGTGACACCAACAATAATCATGCAAATATATGTGCATGTAATACATGTAATACTCATGAATGCAAATGTATGCATGTATCCAGTATGTGTGTAAGCATTTATGTGTGTGAACCATGCATGTAAATGCATAAACACATCAGGCATGTAACTATGTGATGTGTAAATATACACACAAACATGTATGTGTAATGCATATCATGTAAATTATGTACAGATACCTACATATGTAAATGTCTGTGGGTGTGTATGTGTGAAAAAGTGTGTGACTTTCCATGCAGTGTTGAGCACATACGTGCACAACACATGTGACTATGTAACTGTGTTTATGCATGCATGCACTATTCATCCATGTGAGCATGGAGAGGAAAAGCCCAAGGGGCTGACGCTGACACGTGTCTCTGGCCGACTGTTTCCTGGCCACGCACGTGGGATGCTGGAGGAACAGGTGGCAGCTTAACTCACCGACTTTTTCAAGTGGTGCTGGTGTGTGTGTAATGGGGGTGAGGGTGACAGGCAGTGGATGCCCACCGAGGGGGTCCAGGCTCTGGCCATGGCCTTGAACCTCTGCTTGCCGGGCGTCTCTGCTGGCTGGGGTGTTTAGAGGCAGGAAGTGCAACATCCGTCCCCAACTTCCCTGTCTTTTCCCCTGCCCAACTCCTCCAGCCGCAGGCTGCAGGGCTCACCTGCCATTTCTGGGACTGCCAGTTCTTGGGAAAGTGCTTGGGCCACTGCACCCCGCTGGGAGACCCAGATGGAAGCCGCCCGTTAGTGACTTAGTGATCAGGGGCCTAAATAGCAGGTGCCAGGGAGGGGCACCAGGAGCCCTCAGGTGGGACTGCTCCTGGCACAGTCAGCTCGCGGCAGCTCCTCCACGCTCAGCGCAGCAGCTCCACTCCGGGAACACCCAGACCGGCAGCTGGGTCCCCCACCCCTGCAGGGAATGGATAAAGGGGGACTGTTGCCATGGGAAGGCAAGGGCACTGGCCAGCACCCCCAGCAGAGGAAGCCAGGCGTAGTGCCCACATGTGGTGCTCAGGGCAGATGGGAGGCCGTGCAGTGCCCGCCCCTGGCAGCTTTGGGCATCATGCTGCGCAGGGCACTCACACTGCGTGTTCGTGTGGCTGCAGTTTGCCATAAATATGCCACAGTGTCCGCATGGCTGCACCTCCTGCCTCCCAGCTCAGGAACCTGGTGCTGCCCCTGGCTCTCCCTGCCCCTTGCCCTCCTCTGTCCGAGCTGGGCCTTCTGCCCATGCTGCGTCAACCCTTGCTCACCTGGAGAGAGCGAAGGCCAGGCCTCTCCTGACCTGCGGCCCTCTGGCAACACTGGCTAGAACTCCAGTGTAGTTCCTATGGACAGGGGTGGTCGCACCTGTAGACTGTCTCCTGGGGTTTCCAGGTGGAAGGAACAGCCAGTATGGAGGAGCAGCCAGCAGCCCGGAGTGGCCATTATGAGCAGCTGTTGTCATAGCAACAGCAAAGTGGCTAGTGGTCCCCAGGGTGGTGCTTAGCAGAGAAGCTGGCCGGTGCTGGGGCAGCAGTACCACCCCCTGAGGGCCCTGAGCTGCCTCAGTCTTTGCTGTGGATGTGAGCGTAGCCCCCCGGGAAGCTGGGGGCATCCGGAGGTACTGACATTGCCCAGAGGGACAGCCATGCACGTTAGCCTGGGTTCTGCGTTAGGGAATGGCTGGGGTTGTGGGCAGGTGGCAAAGGTGGCATGGAGATGAGCTGCCTGCCTGGGTGGGTCAGAAGAGAGCTGGGCTCCCCGGGAGGGGTGAAGCCACCCTTTGGCATTCAGATGGCTAGGGAACTCTGGGCTACATCCTGGATCCTGGGGGAGTCGTTCAGGGCTGTGTCCCACCAAGCTCATCTGGACAGGGACTCGGAGCCCGACGTCCCGCTGCTCCCTACTTCATGGTGGGTGGATGTGGGCCTCAGCGTGTGCTGGACAGCCAGGAGTGTTCCATGTCTCCTGTGTCCACTGTGGTTGGGCTGGGGGTACCCTGTGATTGCCCGAGGGTTTCAGGTCATGGAGTGGCCGCTAGGCAGGGTACCAGGTGGTGCAGAGTGGTCACTGGGCAGGGTACCAGGTGGTGCAGAGTGGCCGCTGGGTGGGATGCCGGGTGGTGTGGAGTGGCCACTGGGCAGGGTACCGGGTGGTGTGGAGTGGCCACTGGGCAGGGTGCTGGGTGGTGCAGAGTGGCTGCTGGGTGGGATGCCAGGTGGGTACCCCTGCTTCCCAGCTTCCTGGTGGGCTACGGGACTTTGAGGAGCCAGTACTCCTTCCTGGTGGGCCATGGGACTTTGAGGAGCCATTGGGTCACACATTTGGAGTGGGAGGGCTGGAAGGCGTAGGTCCTGGGGTTGAGGTGGGGGTTCACTTGGGGTGAGCTGCTGAGTGTGTCTTCTGGGGTGCCTCGGACCGGGCACTAAGCCCCACTCGAGGGTCACTGTGGGTGAAGCCTGGGGCTGAGTGGACTCAAAGCTGTGGGGATGCGAGGGGAAGGCCCAGTCCAGGCTGGCCAGCAGGGGCCACCTGCCCGGCCACTGACCCCTCTCACCACAGCCACTTCTGTGACCCCAGCCCTTCATGTTCTGCTCCTGCGTAGGAAGAAAACAGACAGACGCTGGCCTGGCAGAAGTCCAGCTCCCAGTCAGACTCGCATGACGAAGAGGTGTCCCCAGTGCCCCCGAACCCCGTGGTGAAGGCCCGGCGCCGGCGTGGTGGGGTGAGCGCCGAGGTGTACACTGAGGAAGATGCCGTGTCCTACGTCAGGAAGGTGAGACCGCCACACCCTGGGTGCTGCCTGGGCGGGCATCAGACACGGCCATGGTCATGGGCAGAGGGAGCACCTGGGTCCGGGCTGGTCCCTGCATTGTTTGTTTGTTTGTTGACTTATCTATTAGATTTACAGAGAGGAGAGACAGAGAAAGATCTTCTATCTCCTGGTTCACTCCCCACATGGCCACGGCTGCCAGGAGTGAGCCCATTTGAAGCCAGGAGCCCCCTCTGTGTGTCCCGTGTGGCACGGGGCCCAAGGCCTTGGGTCATCTTCTGTTGCTTTCCCAGACCATAAACAGAACTGGACGGGAAGTAGAGCAATCAGGACCAGCACCAGCGCCCACTTGGGATGCCGGCGTCAGAGGCAGTGGCTTCAGCAGTTGTACCACAATGCCAGCTGCTGTTTCTGTTTTAAAACAGCCGTGGGCTGAACCTTTACAAAGTAGGAAACCTTGTCACCTTCAAGGACGCAGATAGCCGGCAGGACACTGTGCTGAGGGATTGCGCTGGGCAGGGCAGCTCAGTGGGGATTGGGGCCGGTGTGGGCAGCCCGAAGTGGGGATCGGGGCCAGTGTGGGCAGCTCAGTGGGGATCGGGGCCAGTGTGGGCAGCTCAGTGGGGATCGGGGCCAGTGTGGGCAGCTCAATGGGGATCGGGGCCGGTGTGGGCAGCCCGAAGTGGGGATCGGGGCCGGTGTGGGCATCTCAGTGGGGATCAGGGCCGGTGTGGGCAGCTCAATGGGGATCGGGGCCGGTGTGGGCAGCTCAGTGGGGATCGGGGCCAGTGTGGGCAGCCCGAAGTGGGAATCGGGGCCGGTGGGGTTGTATGCTTTGGCCTGTCTCAAGTGAAGAGGCAAGCTGAGTCAGGCCATGGCTGCCAGGTGGGGCGGCCCAGAGGGTGGTCCCCCGTGTCCAGTCCCCGGCTCTGACTGTGCTGGGCTCCCCTACAGGTCATCCCAAAAGACTACAAGACCATGACTGCGCTGGCCAGGGCCATCTCTAAGAATGTGCTCTTCACCCACCTGGATGACAATGAGAGAAGGTAAATGCCCAAGTGGGGACCCCAGGCCTGGGCCACATTCCCCAGGGAGGCACAGAGGAAGAACCTCCTGAAAATGAGAGTCCTTGAGGAAGGGCTGGGCTGCTCTGTGTGTGCCCTGCGTGTGCCCTGCGTGTGCCCTGTGTGTGCCCTGTGTGTGCCCTGCGTGTGCCCTGCTGTGGTTGTGGGGACAGGGCCCTGTGTGTGCCCTGTGTGTGCCCTGCGTGTGCCCTACTGTGGCTGTGGGGACAGGGCTGCTGTGGGCCCTGTGTGTGCCCTGCTGTGGCTATGAGGACAGGGCCCTGTGTGTGCCCTGTGTGTGCCCTGCATGTGCCCTGCTGTGGCTGTGGGGACAGGGCCCTGTGTGTGCCCTGTGTGTGCCCTGCGTGTGCCCTGTGTGTGCCCTGTGTGTGCCCTGCGTGTGCCCTGCGTGTGCCCTGCTGTGGCTGTGGGGACAGGGCCCTGCGTGTGCCCTGCGTGTGCCCTGCGTGTGCCCTGTGTGTGCCCTGCGTGTGCCCTGCGTGTGCCCTGCTGTGGCTGTGGGGACAGGGCTGCTGTGGGCCCTGCGTGTGCCCTGCTGTGGCTGTGAGGACAGGGCCCTGTGTGTGCCCTGTGTGTGCCCTGCGTGTGCCCTGTGTGTGCCCTGTGTGTGCCCTGTGTGTGCCCTGCTGTGGTTGTGGGGACAGGGCCCTGTGTGTGCCCTGCGTGTGCCCTGCATGTGCCCTGTGTGTGCCCTGCGTGTGCCCTGCGTGTGCCCTGCATGTGCCCTGCTGTGGCTGTGGGGACAGGGCCCTGTGTGTGCCCTGCGTGTGCCCTGCATGTGCCCTGCTGTGGTTGTGGGGACAGGGCCCTGTGTGTGCCCTGCGTGTGCCCTGCGTGTGCCCTGCTGTGGCTGTGGGGACAGGGCCCTGTGTGTGCCCTGCGTGTGCCCTGTGTGTGCCCTGTGTGTGCCCTGTGTGTGCCCTGCGTGTGCCCTGCGTGTGCCCTGCTGTGGCTGTGGGGACAGGGCCCTGTGTGTGCCCTGTGTGTGCCCTGTGTGTGCCCTGTGTGTGCCCTGCTGTGGTTGTGGGGACAGGGCCCTGTGTGTGCCCTGCATGTGCCCTGCGTGTGCCCTGTGTGTGCCCTGCGTGTGCCCTGCGTGTGCCCTGCTGTGGCTGTGGGGACAGGGCCCTGTGTGTGCCCTGCGTGTGCCCTGTGTGTGCCCTGTGTGTGCCCTGCGTGTGCCCTGCTGTGGCTGTGGGGACAGGGCCCTGTGTGTGCCCTACGTGTGCCCTGCATGTGCCCTGCTGTGGTTGTGGGGACAGGGCCCTGTGTGTGCCCTGCGTGTGCCCTGCGTGTGCCCTGCTGTGGCTGTGGGGACAGGGCCCTGTGTGTGCCCTGCGTGGGCCCTGTGTGTGCCCTGCTGTGGCTGTGGGGACAGGGCCCTGTGTGTGCCCTGCGTGTGCCCTGCGTGTGCCCTGCTGTGGCTGTGGGGACAGGGCCCTGTGTGTGCCCTGCGTGTGCCCTGCGTGTGCCCTGCTGTGGCTGTGGGGACAGGGCCCTGTGTGTGCCCTGTGTGTGCCCTGCTGTGGCTGTGGGGACAGGGCCCTGTGTGTGCCCTGTGTGTGCCCTGTGTGTGCCCTGCGTGTGCCCTGTGTGTGCTCTGTGTGTGCCCTGCGTGTGCCCTGCATGTGCCCTGCTGTGGTTGTGGGGACAGGGCCCTGTGTGTGCCCTGTGTGTGCCCTGCGTGTGCCCTGCTGTGGCTGTGGGGACAGGGCCCTGTGTGTGCCCTGCGTGTGCCCTGTGTGTGCCCTGCTGTGGCTGTGGGGACAGGGCCCTGTGTGTGCCCTGCGTGTGCCCTGTGTGTGCCCTGCATGTGCCCTGCTGTGGTTGTGGGGACAGGGCCCTGTGTGTGCCCTGCGTGTGCCCTGCATGTGCCCTGCTGTGGCTGTGGGGACAGGGCCCTGTGTGTGCCCTGCGTGTGCCCTGTGTGTGCCCTGTGTGTGCCCTGTGTGTGCCCTGCGTGTGCCCTGCTGTGGTTGTGGGGACAGGGCCCTGTGTGTGCCCTGCGTGTGCCCTGCGTGTGCCCTGCTGTGGCTGTGGGGACAGGGCCCTGTGTGTGCCCTGCGTGTGCCCTGCATGTGCCCTGCTGTGGCTGTGGGGACAGGGCCCTGTGTGTGCCCTGTGTGTGCCCTGCTGTGGCTGTGGGGACAGGGCCCTGTGTGTGCCCTGCGTGTGCCCTGTGTGTGCCCTGCGTGTGCCCTGCTGTGGCTGTGGGGACAGGGGCCTGCGTGTGCCCTGCTGTGGCTGTGGGGACAGGGCCCTGTGTGTGCCCTGTGTGTGCCCTGCTGTGGCTGTGGGGACAGGGCCCTGTGTGTGCCCTGTGTGTGCCCTGCTGTGGCTATGAGGACAGGGCCCTGTGTGTGCCCTGTGTGTGCCCTGCATGTGCCCTGCTGTGGCTGTGGGGACAGGGCCCTGTGTGTGCCCTGCTGTGGCTGTGGGGACAGGGCCCTCTCTGGGTGATACCCAGGGTTGGAGCAGAATCCTGCGGCTTGCATACTGGGATATGCAGTGTCCCTGCTGCCCAGGGCAGAGGGCAGTGTCATGGCCCCCGTGCTGGGAGCTGAAGGGCAAGGTGGACAGAGGGGTCGGTGGGGTTGGAGCGTGGGAGGGGCCTGAAATGTGGTTTGACAAGACACACGTTACTTGGTGACTCCTGGGATCTTGGCTGGCCACGCTATGGGTGTCTCGGGGGGTCCCAGGCGTGTACCCTGCAGTGTGTGGTCACAGCCTCTGGTTCCCTCGTGCTTGACATATAGAAGCCAGCAGGGGGCGCGTGAGGCCCAGACCCAGGGGCTGCGTTGGGGCTGCAGAGCGCTGGGGAGCAGGAGCCCGGGGTCAGTCAAGCCTGGACAGAGGCAGAGGCCACAGCTCCCCTGAAGGTGTTAACGGAAATTGCACAAACCCAGGTGGAAGGCCAAGGACGTGTTACCCCGTCCCTGTCTTCCTGGGGTGCACAGGGAACGCTGCTCACAGCCATTTCTGTGTGCTGCACACCTGGGGCAGGGGCTGCTTCCGGACTGAGGGGTGACAAGCCCCCTGTCTGGGGTGTCAGGTCCACGTTGTTCACGAGGGGAGCCTGTCCTCGCTGCCCAGGAAGTGGGTGGGGTGTGCACTGCCTGGCACTCCCCCGGGCACCTGCCTGCCATGCAGCCTCAGTTCCCCCCTTGTCCCTCCTTGCGACCACACAGCTCGACGGGGCGGAGTCTGGGCCCTGCTCCCCGCGATGGCGGCACACGCACCTTTGGGACAGGTGGGTTGTCTGACTTGGCCTTGCAGTCCAGTTGCAGGGAGCTGGACATGAGAAGGGGAGGAAGACCGTGGACACAGTGCCTGGCTGGTGTAGCCGCACACGTGCACACACACGTAGGCACATATACACACACGTGCTCACTCAGAACCAAGCACTGTGGTGACATTTGAAGGGAGAAGTCATTGACAAGTCATGTTTGCACTTTGAGTCTTCATTTCCTCACGTATCAGATGGGGTGAAACCTCCTCTGTGGGTGGTCCTGCTCTGAGTGGCACCATCGCCATCACCCTCGGGGCATGGCTGGAACAGTCGGGACAGTAATGGGGGGAGTCCCTGTGGACTCCTTCCCTCCCGGCCTGCCCCAACTGGGGAACCTGGGGGCATCGCCGAGCCCCTGGGAGCCTCGATGTTGGCAGTAGAGACCCCGTGGACCCAGGTCAGGTGGGTGGGCAGCTCTGTTTGGCAGGTCCAGTCAGAATCACAGGGGCTTGGCCCAGCACGGCCAGCAGCCACCGCCTGTCTCCCTCCCCCTGCCTGTGCGTGCAGGCGTTGGCTCCCAGTTGCAGGTGATGAGCAAAACACACCGTCTGGGAGTCACATTCTGGCCTCGGCTCTGACCTCCTGGCCCCCTCCTTGCAGGCTGGCTCCACCGCTGGGGCTTCCTGCCCGCCCCTTGACGAGAGCATGGAGGGTGTTGGAAAATGCAGAGACGGAAATTGGGAGATGTTTTAATGGCTTTACCATGCCGAGGGCACACAGCCAGGATTGCGCTGGCCAGAGCGGACCCAGGGACTGCTGCACCGTGGGCTTTCTGAGCCAGACTCTGGTGGTGGATGGAGAGTAGGGCTGGAACCAGGCTCCTGGTAGCCCCCGGCTGGGAGTGAGGAGGCCAGGCTGCCCCATGGCTGCATGCACGGGTCAGGAGCAGTGGCTGAAAAGTGCCCATGGCAGGGCTACAGCCATCAGGGAAGTGGGGATCGCTTAGGGAGGGTAGTCCCAGCTGGTATCCCCTGCAACCTCTTGTGTCCCATCCATGGGTGTAGGGACACACTGGGGTCCCTGGCTCCTGGCCGTGGCCTCAAAGTCTGGTGGTGCACAGGGTCCAGCGTGCTGCAGCCCCCGCCCAAGGCTCCCCGGTCCATGGTGATACCCTTTATATGGATGGCACGGCTGGCCCTGTTACCCTGTGGGGCCCTCAACACTGCAGCCGGTGTGTATTGCCCCCTGGTGGTGGTTTGTGTCACTGCGCCCTCCCCATCAGTGACTCCACTCCCCCTACCCCCATTGACATCACCCCACCTGCTGCCCTGCGCTGCCTCCACCCTGGCGGGCCGGTGGGTCACCAGGCTCAGCTCCCTTGCTGTGGATTGAGCGTGGGGCCAGCTGCAGTGTCCCTGAGTGTCCCCAGAGTGTCGCCGGCCAAGGGGGCTCTGTGTCATGCACAGCCTCTCAGCAGCTGGGACAAACTTTAGCCAGGCAGTCACAGGTTCAGAGCACAGGTTCAGGTGCCCGTTCCACCTGGGAGTTCCTCGGTCTGCAGGAACAAGCATACGGACTGTCCCACCTTTGCGGGGGATGCGGACCCCCTTGCAGATTCTGTCCCCCAGTGAGGGCTGTGTGGGACCGGGCTTGGTGGGTCAGCGGCAGATGTGGGCTGAGGGCAGCACAGCCTGGGCCTCGGGTGTGGACCTTGGGCAGGAGACAGCCTGCT